CTGCGATAAATAACCCTTGTATTTGTTTCAGTTATCTTTTGTTTATGTATCGAATACGCACTTAGAGTTTGGAAAATACTTTTGTTTTCAAGTCAATCAGTCTTGCATTTATCAGTAATTTTCTTTTCATTTTAGAGGAGATGCGGAGGAGGAAGGAAGGTAAGTTATATGTTACCTATGATGATTAACCTTAGTAAGTTTTATTTGGACAGTGTTTCAATATTCACTCTATGTAGAGCACATTGGATGTGTAGGTATGTTTGATAATAGCAAATGCAATCGATGATACATTAAAGTTCATTTTCTTTAGTTTATCATGGAACATTCTACTGACTTAAACTAATTTAAGCATCGTATTATAAATTTGTAACAATGGCCACAGCAAAAAACAAAAACGAAAACAATGATATAACGCAGCTCAATGCTTAGAGATGAACCTGAATCGTTCTCCAGTTGTGGAGTGTGTATCTCTGTAATACCCTCCACAGACAGAACTTAAGCAATTAGGCTTTAACGATTAGGCTTTAACGGCTGTGTGATCCAACCAGGTATTTACGGTCAAACGTTACCCAATAAAAGTCACTGGAAATAATACTGAAACTGATTAAATCGAATTGTCAGTGCAATCGGGTCGTTTCTTAACTTATGTTGAATCTGACTGAAAGATGAACTCATTTTTAATTATATACTGGAAGCGCCCGTAGTCAGTACGAAGCGAATTCTGTGCTCTGATTGGCTATATGAGCGGGATTGCCTGCTCTGATCCCATCGCTGCTAACATGTCGTCCAATTCACGCCCCTAGTCCCTTTAGAAATTCATGCTAGAGGTCCTGTGGCGGTTAAGGCCTATAACGACGCCCTCAAAGACGGAGAGGCATCTGTAAACAGAATACCAGTAATCTTGGTCGGACAAGAGCGAACAGGAAAAACTAGTCTAAAGAGATCTTTAAAAGGAGAGCTTTTCGACAAATTTGAAGAAAGTACGGATGGAATTCAGGCAGATACTGGATATTTCAAAGTCTCTAAAGAAATTTGGAAGACCGGGAAAAAAATTGAAGATGCGGGTCCTGAATCTAGTATCTCGTTTGAAAACCTTGCGGCAGCTAAGTTGATTCTTGAACGGTTAAGGCGAGAAAATTTGAGTTCACAGGATGTTCCACAACAAAGTAAAAACGCCACTCATCTCGATACCGAAAAAACCAGCAGAGATACGGCATCATCTACTTCGAGTCAGCCAAATGGAAACGATGACAGTCCCTTCGACATGCCAGAAATACCTGAAGAAGTACTTCATGAGCTAACCAAACTGCTGCAGAGGGAGAGAGATGTTTCCGACATTAATGATGTCTATTCAATCTTGTGGGACTTTGCTGGGCAATCTGTCTACTACGACACCCATCCAATTTTCCTGATTGAGAATGCTATCTATCTTTTGGTAGCCAATCTGAGCCATAATCCTGAAGAGAAGGCAACTCCACCTGTGAAGAAAGGATTGTACAGTGATATCGTAGACTCTCACAACAGCAAAACAAACCTTGACTTCCTTGACTTTTGGATGTCATCAATTTTTTCACTGGCGAGCCCAGAATCCAGCTGCTTAGATTCAGCCACAAATGGTCAAGAGAATTTACCCGGAAGACTTCCCCCAGTGTTTTTGGTTTGCACCCATGCCGACAAGCCCTTCTACAGGACTAACGCTAGAGACCAAGCACTTGAAATATATGGGTTTTTACGAAGAAAAGCATACAGGGAGCACCTTTTCAAGGACGTTTTCGCCGTGGATAATACCAAATCAGGAGGTGACCACGAGTGCCTAGAGGTCGTGCGCCTGAGAGAGAAAGTACTTGCTGTAGCAAAGGAGTTCCCACTGATGAAAACAAAAATACCATTGAGGTGGTTGAAGTATGAAAACTTGCTTCACATCCGTATGGAGCATGACAAGTGGATAACGCTGAATGAAGCCAGGCGCATTGCATTTGACGAGTGCATTATTCATAACGAGGCAGAATTCTCGACCTTGTTGAATTTCCTGCATGATCAGAGAATTGTTGTTCATTTCAGTGGCTCCCCAGAGCTGGAGAGAATGGTGATCTTAGATCCCCAGTGGCTTGTCGACGTTCTCAAGAAGATTATCACTGTAAAGCGGTATGAACACTCTGAAGAACAAGTAGAATCCATGTGGTTAAAGCTTGAAAATACAGGGGTCTTAGATGAAAAGCTTATCGACCATGCATGGAGAGACTTGTTTGACAACCAAGAATCCCGCGAAAGCCTGATCGCAATCTTGGAGAGATTGAGTCTTCTTTGTTCTTGGCCGTCGGCTGATTCTTACAAGCAATATCTTGTGCCATCCATGTTGATGTCACCTCCAACGGAAGATGTCGTGAAGCTTCTCGACTCCGTAAAAATGCCATCACTTTTTATCACATTCGCATCAAGTCGAGTGCCCCCTGGTCTCTTCTCTCGACTTATACTGCTTTTCCTCCAATGGTGCAAAGAAGAATGGAACAGCGAAGTAAGCCCACAGTTGTTTCATAATTTTGCCAGGTTTCACATTCTTCCAGACCAAGGTGTCTCCTTGATTTTTCGGTGCCATTCCTCGTCGATCGAAATCGTCGTTTGCAGTGGAGACATTGACTATGAGACAGGAGCAGAGTCAACTTGTAAAAACTATGACCAAACACTATGCCATACTGTTCACTGGAAATTGAAGTTGGTACTGGAATGCATGCGCAAAGAGTTCCACTGGCTCAAGAACGTGAAGTACGATATGTGTGTCTGCTGCCCAGTCTGTTCTCAACCAGGCTCGATCAAATGCCGCGCTCATGGGGTGTATGGATGTGAGTGTCTACACTTCTTGTCAGAATCTGATTTGAGACGGCGTCGTTATTGCGACAGACCAGGAAGCATCCTTAGTAAGAATTGCAAGATTCGGGTCAAGCAGTTTGAATGCTGGTTCCCATTCGAAGGCTTAGAGGAAAGTGCTGGAATTTCAACGAATCGGGTAAGCTAAGTTAATAATCCAGAGGCATTTTCATATAAGGTCAGTGTTTACATAATCAGAATGAACTTGACTAGTATATGTATAGTATAAAACAGTATAGTGGATAGCGTTGAAGGCGGACTCTGAATAGCTAATCAAACTCCGCATATCCTTTGTCATTTACCTTCGAGCAACTCGCACGGGATTTTCGCCCGAAATTTGGGTAATCGTTGCAGGAATAAATGATTTAAAATCATAGTTTTGTGCTTTGTTATCTCAGAGTTTAAGTATATACTAAAACGTTCACTCACCTCCATTTCGTTGAATAGTTGATTAATAATAATAATAATAATGATAATCATCGAAATATTTGACCAGGATAACCCTTCAATACAAAAGTACTGTTATCAACGGGATCCTGCTTATTGAGAATTAAAAACTAAGAAATAAGAAATATTAAAATATGTATAAGATAGTACCTATAATACAAAAGACACGTCGTTAAAAACTGCTGAAACTACAATAGAAATCACAAGTAATAATTGTCCAAGGCTTTCCTAAATAAAACTTTAGAGTTAATGTTCCTCAAACCCAAAGGTAATGAATTAAAAATCGAGGGACCCAAAAAATAAAAACTACGGCGCGTAAAATCCAGTTTGACCCTTGGTACCTTTGTTGATTTCCCATTGTTTCTATTGTTTAACGCGTTATGATGTAATCGTTGGAAGTAGTCCCTAAATGGGAGACATACGGTTCCATTAAGGCAGTCAAATACAGAGCAGCATGCTCTCTCCTGTTAAAAGTTGTCAATTGTTAAAAATCGAAGATTATAGTTCTGTGGACTGCATTTAGGGGAAATGGTTTCGTGGCTTCTGGCCTCAGTGGAGCGGATCAAGTGTTTGCGGGACTCTGACCATCAAAGACTATTATACCCGCAATACGTAAATATTAGCTTAATCATCGATTTGTAAATTCTTTGGGCGCTGAAGGTATCAATGCTAGAGCGGATACACCGTAAGAGGTTCATTCTTGCTGCTGCCTTCTTGTATATTTTATGAAAATGCGTGTCAAGATTATGTGTGGGGTCCAACTGAACTCCGAAGTACTTCTAAGATGTAGTGGTATTGATGTGAGAACCATCGACCGAGATCTTGACTTGACAACCAAGTATAAAAGTATATAAGTATATATTGGATATAAGTTCTGCATACTGACTTTCAATACATCGTGGTGAATTTTAAATGAATATGAAATAAGTTAACATTAATAACAGGCAAGAAGTCACTAACCCAAGGTTGAATAAAGTATTGGATCTGTGTCTCCACTTGAAGATGTTCAGGATTGATTCATAAAATCTGCACCATACGAGCGATTATAATTTTCATCATATCTATCCTTCAAATCAAGGAAAAACTTCTCTCCTAGAAATAATATAGTTGTGGCACACTCGTTACTAAAATTGAAATAACAAATTCAATTTAAAGAGTTAACATTGTTGCCTGCAACGTGTAGCTGTCCGTTTAGTAAGCCAGCCAGTCTCATCCCTTTCCTAGGGGCAAGTGCGAATAGATTTTGTTCTTTTAAGGCCAATCTAAAGTTGATTTAATCTGATCTGTTTATTTAGCAGCCCCAAGCTTTTAATGCCTCGGGTCCTGAAAGTTCTCTCGATGAAGAAGGCATATTTCTATTGGAAGGTGAGAGGCCCTTTCTTTTCATGTCATCATCGCATAATGAAAGTGTCGTACTAAAAAGAATAAATCCAAGGTACATAAAAAACAAAACAAAAACAAAAACAAAAACAGTTAAGAGTACTTTAGGATTCTATCAAGATCCATTTCCATAAATTGTGATACGAGAGCATTTAGAACAAGGTTCTCTCTCCCGGAACTGGCATAATTATCAGTTCATGATGTTGAGCGTCAACAAATAACTTTCCTTCATCGTAAGTTTGTCATCTCAATGAAGCTCTTTGTTTTTTCAATTATTTCTATATCATTTCCAAGGAACGACGCGGAAAGAACTTGCGCTGCCAGAGAATGTCAAAAGTTCCATTCAGTCCATTTCATTCCGTTCAACAAGTGATGTTGAGGATATTGTGATTCAGTTTCAAGAAGCTCTGCAGTTGGAACCAGCATCTTTAGAAAGTCCAGAGCCTGAGACGAAAAGTATGATTCGTGGCCTTGCCTTGAGAGCTAAATCTGAGAAACGGGATGATTTGGTGAGACACTTGCGAGAGATTACACCTGCTGGTACTACTGGTGAGTTTAAGGAAGATGAGATTTTTTATTCGCACGAGGAAGGAGGGAATAGGTTTCTAAGATATAAAGAAGTACTCACACAAGCGTTCTCTCAATGCAACAAAAATAATGTCGACGCGTTCTTGATTTTATTGTGTAGCCGTATTTGTTGTTGATGCCCTTTTGATCTGCTTTATTGTATTTTTTAATTTTGGTTTTAAGTTTTATAAAATAAATTCTGCTATATTTATCTCCCTTTTCTGTTCCTTTGTCTTTAAAGGGCCGTTGTTGAATGAGGATATGTCAGTTGGTTGTATGCCACATAAGCAATACAAGGATTTGACGTTCAGCCTTTCGGGTAAGGAATTAAGTCGGCGTCTGCGCACCCATTTATTCATAAACTATTTGTATACTAATCTTTGATTAAACTCATAGGTTGTCGTCTCTCAACTCTGAAAAGGACCCTCGAAAAAAGTCGGGCCTTAATAAGATTTGATTTTGCAGATGCGTTTTCAGATCATATTCCGGCTAGATTAGTTCATAGCGAACTAAATTTCGTCAGCTTCCGTCAATACCCTTTCCAGAAGGATGAGATAACGATAACTTAGACGAATTCGGAGGATATCGGGTTCCAAGAAAAGTTCAGCAATTTATGCCATTTGACCATGTAGTCTACAATAGAGTTTAGTTTGAGTCAAAATCTGTTTTTTTTTTTTTGAAACACAATTTATAAAAGACCATAATATGTTTTTTATACGTAGTTCAAGGGAGGTGGAAACCGCTGGCAGAAAGGCTGGGTTTCTCCCAAATCGAGATGTGCTTTTTAGATGAGAGAGTTGTGAATCCTTCTGACGTTGTTCTTGGCGCTGTGGCAAAGCATCGCCACCTGAGTGTTGGAGAAATCTATGACACATTGGTGGACTGCGAGCTACCACTTATTGCAGATCTAATGTAAATGAACTAGAATATTATGAACACCGGACAAAGGTGAGCGACACAGCAAGAAGCAGACGCGAAAAACAAGGTAGCAGCCGACGACTTATTAGCAAAGCATATATGGAATATTGTATTTCCTGAATTTTTCATCGAAGTATGAGAGCCCTAATCTGTGTTAAGCAGCATTCTAGCAGTTTTAGAGTCACTTACAATCGCACTTATATAAGGTAAAAAGAAAAAATGATAGATAGAATTTGAAATTAAGCCTTCGTTCATCTAGTGGTCAGATAACAAGCGTTCTTTTATAAGTTTTCCATTTGGATGCTATACTAGTTCTTTTTTTCTAATATTCGAACAGTTCTTTTATTGATTTCCATATGAAAGGTTTGTTAGATGACAAAAAGTAGTATCACGATTTAATCAAGCCTAAAAGCAGAGCTCCAGTTTTTTTTTTGTTAGTTTGTTGCTTTTTTTTGCCTTCATTTAATATTTACGTAGAGGGTTTGGTTGGGGTAGTTTGTGAAGAAAAAATTGATAATCCAGGGTATTTTGTAGCAGTTAGAGGGTGGGAATTGTTTCTTTACTCAATGTATAAGGGATTTTGTACATTAATTCATCGTAAAATGAACTTATAGGCCGTGTAATGACGACTGGATCAAAACATAAATAAAAACCCCGAGAGGAGGGCACTTTCATTTTTCAACAAGTTCTGAAGCCCAAGTCTTAGTAATTATCATTCAAATACAAAATCATTTTGCATTGTGGCAACAAAGAATATGTTTAAAATAACTGAGATCCCCAGAGCATCTTGATCTGATTGGTCAAAAACCTATTGTTTATTGTAAAACCATAAAAAAGTTGAATCTTGTTTAGCTTGTTTTACAAAAGGAATAGTAAAGACCGCACTTTCTATCGGTTCACCGGCGTTGGGATGTTGGTACGTCGAGGAAACAAGGAATGTTGGGAGAACACTCGAATAGGTTGTTATACTCATACGCCTCCGGATCGTGATGCACAAACTTATTTATCATTCTCTCAAATTCCGCCAGAGCTATGACGCCGATAAACTGATAGAAAGTGTGTGGTCTACTCTCATAAACATGAAGCCAGTATGGTTTGATTTAGAGCAATTATTGTATTTGAAACATAAGAACTACGGCGAAGGACTAAGCCGGGTTGATTTATCTCAACTAACAGTGGTGGCCTTGGTTAGGGTGCGGCAGTCTTCCAAACTTTGGAGTCATGACCTTTAATCCAGTTTCAAAAAAAGTATATTTTCTTTGTTTTATAGCTAGTTTAATGAAATTTTTAGATGCACCAGTAATTCTAATTTGCCATTTGTAGCGAACAACGAATTTTTACATGGTGAGCACATGATGAAATAATCCCGTTTTGCATTACATTTACCTCTTCATGGCTATGGTTTTGGTTCTAATTTCTTTATTTTTGAGTGTTTCGTGCGAGTAAGTTGTTACAACATAATAGCAGGGACTTACGATACAGGGAAGGGATAGGATCTTTTGCTTAAGAGTTCGAATAAATAAGATACAAGACTCGTTTAAAATATAGTCGTAACCAGTAAGTTTTTCCTTCTATTCAGCAGCGAAAAACTTTCTGGAAGCGCGGAGTTCGAATGAAGTGACAAGGTTTCCTTAAAAATGTAACGTCTCTGTATTGATATCCAGTTTTTATATTATCTTGACAAATTCACTGTTAGAAAACAATGATTTCGTAGTTAGTAACA